AGGGCGACAGCGAGAGCCAGTGCTGGAGCTAGAGCGAGAGCGCGAGCGTGAACGCGAACGCGAACGCGAGAACCAGCGTGAGACATGCCAGAAACATAGAGGAGGTCACTGCAGTTTTCATGCGCGCACCAGCACGCGTGTACCTCAGCCGCAGTATCCTCTCGGGTGCGTCGTGTCTCCTTCGTCACAATCATCGCGTTCGTGTCAATAGTTCTTTACTGACTATTTGACCGAGTTTTGTACGGATATGTGCGCGGATTCGGCAGCTCGACTTTTCATCCTACCGCGCTATTACGGCCATATAATCTTTCATCAGCGCATATCCAGTCTGCGGATTTGAAGTCGCGTCGTCAGTCGTTGTCCTCTCTGTCATCGCTGTCGTACAGCTCATTGAAAACTAGTGAACGTGCCGCGGGATTATGACTAATGCCGGCCGCCGCTCAAGTCGTCGCTAATGTGCATGTTACATTCTGCATGAATGAGAACAGAAGTTTGGTGCAAAAAAATTAAGGACGACTTTGCCTCATCGACATATGTCTCGCGCTTTCCTTCTCCATCGTTCAGTGCTATTCATAGCTGTTCATAGGCTACACGGCTGAAATTTATCTTATCGTCCTGGCACCACATAAGCATTTTATGATTTAGCGCAATGTTTACAACGTAGGCCATTTCACTTAGAATATCTCTGAAAGCTGAAGTAAGTTTGAATGCGTTTTTGCCTAATATTGATAGTAGACTACCTGTGTCTTGGTGACAACGTAGACGGCGACGGCGACGATGAAATGAAGAAGAAGTAGTCGCTGCTGCCCGTTGGATCAGCCACAGCATGGATCCGCCGTAGCATGGATCACTCACTGTCCATCGTGGCTTTGTTATGCATTTCGCGCTACGTGCCGTTGTCGTGCTAAACTGTACCGCTGTCTTCTGCGGTGTCTGACCATCGATGACAGATGAAGGCCCGGACGGCAAATGTAGAGAGGGAAAGTCGACAGAGATGACCTATGCTGGGAGGAAAGCATGCAATGCGATCGCTACAGCCGTTGTCGTCTCTTAGTCGTCTGTACTGCGTCAATATTTCGGGACTGCGGCTGTCTGTGGTTGGTGCCTGTTCGATCGTCGCCGTTCGACCATCCGTTCACCCATCGATGGCGAACGGCCGATTCCAGTCACTGTGAAGTGACCAGGTGCAGGTTGCGCTGAAGGGGGAAGGATACCGAGGAAGTGAGGTAGCGCACGGAATTTAAGAACGTGTGAAACGACGATTTGTCACCTGTTCCAGTCTCGTCGGTTACTGACCTTCAACCCTTAGGCGTTCCGACGACAACTAAAACGACGACTATATCTCAGACGATCGACGTTGACTCTGAAGCTTATTTGCGAAGCAAAATTTCGTTACGTTGCCCGGATTCGAATGATAGTGATCTTCCTCGTCGGCAGTGTTGTTCTGCGCCTGCGCCTGCGCTTTAAACAGTACTTGTCCAGCGGTTTATGCTTAACGGTGTATTTTTAGGCGAACTGTGTCCACTGTTTCCTCCGTGTCAGTGTGTCCGTGTCCGTCCCGTCTGCCCGTCCGCCCGCCCGCCCACATTTCATTACTTGCCCCATGCGGTTTAGCGGTTAAAACGATTTTGTCACACTTTTTCAGTTGTACCGTTTTCTGACGGCGCTGAGCGAAAACCTGCCTGCTCTCGCGACGATTCAGCCAGCGCTGGTGCACTTCCTGCAAACTCATCCTCGTCCTCCTCCGACCGAGCATTCTCTCAAGCGGTGAACATGTGTCTGGTAGTTGTGTTTTTGTTGCTAATTTGGTGAGTGAAGCTGTTTACTGATCTTTATTCTGCTGACATGTACGCCGCTCTTTGTCTTTGTGTTGATTTGTGTTTGTGTCAAGCCCAAGACTTTTCTCGCATTTGTAACCGTCCACGACAAGACGTCCACAGCTGGTGCTGGACGTCATCCTCTTGAAGGCATCACGTGGGTATTTTCGTTTTTCGTCCATACGAACGATTATGCAAGCGAGCGAGCAAGCGAATGAGTAATGTGCAACGCAAACGTATTTGCCCATGTTCGCTTGCTGGTAGCAAAGGAGGCGATGTTAAATCACGCGCAGCTTTAGTGCTGCTC